CAAATACTAGTAAATGATCCTCAGCAATGCTGTCAGACAAGCCAGACATCATCGGACTCTGTTCTGGAATAGATTTGACACATTTATATATGTATTTCGCTCCTCAGCCAGATTTAAATGAAATCAGACAAATCAGTTAATTAGCTCTACTTAATTTAAAAGGATAGAAAAGGACTACACTTTATGTATGTTCACTTTAAAATGTGGCATGTTCCATGTGACAACATAACTTGACAATTCCTAAATTATCTCTCTTTGGGAACGGAAATTAGTGTCACTTTTAACGACATTGTTTAATCATTAAATTTATGGATCTAGATAGACCCAGTATACATCACATAACATCAGACTTCAACGCGCATCTTAAATGCTGAACGCCTGCTGTTCGATCAAAGGTCTCATCTAGTCATTGTCATTTAGAATAACGTCCCTTTAATACTTTCGTCCTTGACTTTGCACGCAACGTGTCCACATAAAGTTCTGTACGCTCGCGAGAGGACCATTTGAAGGGAAAGTAGTGAAGTATCTTTTTGCACATTATTTCAATTCTAATAGCTAAAGTGTGGTAACACTACACTTATTGATTGTAACATTTATTGGGTTTGAAAAATGCTATTGCATGGCACACGAATGCTGTTTGTGTCCGGGTAGTCATCTCTATCATAAGAACAAACGTCTACATGTAGGACATATAGAGGATTGTACGGAATGTCACTCAAATAGTTGCATGTTAAACAGTGCGACCTGACAATGTGATCATGAATTCCTTGTCACTTCTCCATGTTGTTATTGCTAGCGGTGGGGAAATCCTGCGACGTCACTGAGAAACACCCCGCTTTTTCAATCTCTAACACAAATGAGTTCTCTGTCAGAGTTACGATAACTATCGTAGCTCTGTACGATCTGCGACAGGTTTACAATACTTTAAAAATTCTATCTTATATTAAACTTAAGATGTCTTATCTTTAAACGTAAGTTGTTAAGGTTAATTTAGCTAAGATCGTTTCGAAAATCTAGGCCCAGGCTAGCTCGCCTGTTTTTCCCCGCTCGCCTCGGTTCCACAACTTTCATGTCTTCGGGTTTCATTTCTAATTAGAGATCTAGCATTTTTCCAACTGTGTCTTCCCATTCTCAGGGAACTAATATTTGAATCTGGTGGTAACTGACCATGTCATTTGAAACAGGCGCCTTCTGTTCGGTTGGCTACAGTCTGACTGTTGCACTTGACCTCTTGCCTTGATTGACAGGTCCTATGTACATTATTTTTATCCTACTCTCCGTTGACTGGCAACTGACTTTGTAGGCGCGTCAAGTTATGTGCATAGATTAAATAATCACCTGATTCATGTCACGCCACATTATGTATTCCTACACCTGGAATGTTTATCAATGTCGTCATTTTTGTTTGCTTTGATATATATACACCTGTTTTTGGTTAAACTATTGTAGATAAAACATGTTTTTGTACGCAAATTCTTACAAAAGTTTGTACATCAGTTTTCCGATTCATACTTCAATGAACTGAAAAAAATCCACAAATCTCCAAACATCAATTGAAAGTCCCCAGTACGTTTAGATAGGGGTTTTCTGATGTGTGGGTGATTTTGTAGACTATCATGGCTGCAAATCATTTGGCACTCTATGATAAAAAAGACAGTTTACTCAAATGCCATATTCATACATACTGTCTAAAGTCACAACATTGAGTGATATTATATCTTAAACAGTAATTATTTTAAGAATGACATTATATGATATCCTCTGCACATCCAAACCAGGTTCAAATGTAATTTCCAACCATCAATGCATTAGGGGCTGGTCACATGACCCCACTTGGAAACCATATATGGAAAGCTCTTGGAAATGTGTATTCAACAGTATCACTAAAGATCATCAAAACTACCAAAATAATTACTTTATAGCCATTTGAAGTAATGAAAAAAAATAATTCCAGGGATTTTTAACCGTCCATCAGTAATCAAGACAAAGAGCCCCCTCCCCACCCCCCATAAAAAGATGAACAAGAAAAAAGAAGTGTGCACAGAAAATTTCCGTACTTTCAAATACATTTTTGAGACCCTTAGGGTATTACCTCTGTGACTAGAAACTAGTATTTTGATCTATTTCAAGGGATTCATCGGGGTACTTCCGGTACGACACTTATTCCAAAACTGTTTGTTGTAATCCCCGGCAATCCTATAGATATTCTAACCTCATGTGTTTCTGTATCATGAATATATGATATAATATGTACTTATGTATATATACAATGTTTATTCCTAATAAATGATATTTATAATAAAGAAACACAATCAGCTGTAATCTAATGTATGTCACTGTATCCGTTCAATAAGATCCTCCTTATCTGACGTATGTCACTGTATCCGTTCAATAAGATCCTCCTCATCTAACGTATGTCACTATTTCCGTTCAATAAGATCCTCCTCTTCTGAAGTATGTCACTTTTCCGTTCAATAAGGTCCTCCCAAACTAACGTATGTCACTGTATCCGTTCAATAAGATCCTCCCCATTTAATGTATGTCACTGTATCCGTTCAATAAGTTCCTCCCCATCTAATGTATGTCACTTTTCCGTTCAATAAGGTCCTCCCAAACTAACGTATGTCCCTGTATCCGTTCAATAAGATCCTCCCCATCTAATGTATGTCACTGTATCCGTTCAATAAGATCCTCCCCATCTAACGTATGTCACTTTATCCGTTCAATAAGATCCTCCTCATCTAATGTATGTCACTGTATCCATTCAATAAGATCCTCCCCATCTAACATATGTCTCTGTATCCATTCAATAAGATCCTCCCCATCTGACGTATGTCACTTTATCAGTTCAATAAGATCCTCCCAATCTGAAGTATGTCACTTTTCCGTTCAATAAGGTCCTCCCCATCTAACGTATGTCACTGTATCCGTTCAATAAGATCCTCCTCATCTAATGTATGTCATTGTATCTGTTCAATAAGATCCTCCTCATCTAACGTATGTCACTGTATCCGTTCAATAACATCCTCCCCATCTGACGTATGTCACTGTATCCGTTCAATAAGATCCTCCTCATTTAATGTATGTCACTATATCCGTTCAATAAGGTCCTCCCCATCTAATGTATGTCACTGTATCCGTTCAATAAGATCCTCCCCATCTAACGTATGTCACTGTATCCGTTCAATAAGATCCTCCTCATCTGACGTATGTCACTGTATTCGTTCAATGAGATCCTCCCCATCTGACGTATGTCACTTTATCCGTTCAATAAGATCCTCCCAATCTAACATATGTCACTGTTTCCGTTCAATAAGGTCCTCCCCATCTAACGTATGTCACTGTATCCGTTCAATAAGATCCTCCCCATTTAATGAATGTCACTGTATCCGTTCAATAAGATCCTCCCAATCTAATGTATGTCACTGTATCAATTCAATAAGATCCAGCCCATATAACATATGTCTCTGTATCCGTTCAATAAGATCCTCCCCTTCTAACGTATGTCACTGTATCCATTCAATAGGTCCTCCTCATCTAACGTATGTCACTGTATTCGTTCAATAAGATTCTCCTCATCTAACATATGTCACTTTTCCGTTCATTAAGATCCGCCCAATCTAACATATGTCACTGTATCCGTTCATTAAGATCCTCCCCATCTTACATATGTCACTGTATCCATTCAATAAGATCCTCCCAATCTAATGTATGTCACTGTATCCGTTCAATAAGATCCTCCGCATCTAACGTATGTCACTGTATCCGTTCAATAAGATCCTCCCCATCTGACGTATGTCACTGTATCCGTTCAATAAGATCCTCCTCATCTAACGTATGTCACTGTATCCATTCAATAAGGTCCTCCCCATTTAATGTATGTCATTGTATCAGTTCAATAAAGTCCTCCTCATCTAACATATGTCACTGTATCCGTTCAATAAGATCCTCCTCATCTGACGTATGTCACTGTATCCGTTCAATAAGATCCTCCCCATCTAAAGTATGTCACTGTATCCGTTCAATACGATACTCCCAATCTAACGTATGTCACTGCATCCATTCAATTAGATCCTCCCCATCTAACATATGTCTCTGTATCCGTTCAATAAGATCCTCCTCATCTAACGTATGTCACTGTATCCGTTCAATAAGATCCTCCCCATCTGACGTATGTCACTGTATCCGTTCAATAAGATCCTCCTCATCTAAGGTATGTCACTTTATCCGTTCAATAGGTCCTCCTCATCTAACGTATGTCACTGTATCCGTTCAATAAGATCCTCCTCATCTAACGGATGTCACTGTATCCATTTAATAAGATCCTCCCCATCTAACATATGTCTCTGTATCCATTCAATAAGGTCTTCCACATCTAATAATGTCACTGTATCCATTCAATAAGATCCTCCTCATCTAATGTATGTCACTTATCCTGTTCAATCAGATCCTCCTCATCTAACGTATGTCACTGTATCCATTCAATAAGGTCTTCCTCATCTAATAATGTCACTGTATCCGTTCAATAAGATCCTCCTCATCTAACCTATGTCACTGTACCCGTTCAATAAGATCCTCCCCATCTAACCTATGTCACTGTATCCGTTCAATAAGATCCTCCTCATCTAACCTATGTCACTGTACCCGTTCAATAAGATCCTCCCCATCTAACCTATGTCACTGTATCCGTTCAATAAGATCCTCCTCATCTAACGTATGTCACTATCTGTTCAATAAGATCCTCCTCATCTAACGTATGTCACTATCTGTTCAATAAGATCCTCCTCATGTTGCAGAGTGCAGCTGACTGAGGAGGAGATGTCTGGCTCCTGATCTTCCCAGTAAGTTTTTGTGTGATGTCTGAAATGAGCTATATCATTGGGTGTCTCAATACATGCAGAAGGCAACTTCACACATACCTCAGGGGAGCAGCTTGACCAGAAATGTTCCCTATTATTTATAAAGCACAACACCCACCCACTCACTAGCAGCCTGCCTACCTGTATACTGCACAGCCAAGCTTGCCACTGTTTGTTGGGTAGATGATGACATCTATGCTGTTGCCTATTGTGGGTGATGCAAGTTGGTGTCCTGTATCAGAAGACAGACAATAATAAAAAGTAACGTTGTTGAACAATTGTTCACAGATTGTTCTCCTTGGAAGATGGAGGGGATATAGATGCTAGCAACTGACATTTTCAATGTTTTCTACAATTTGAGTATTTTCCTATTGTCAAATTAAATCAGTTCACATAATTTTTGTAATGCAAACATCAGACTATTTCTATTTTGAGTGCCTCTGTGTTTTTGTTTCATATTTTACAGAGATCTATATAACTTGTCTACAAAGTCACTGTAACATGTTTTAGTTTTGAAAGACAGTACAATACATATCCTTTGAAGTGAAGCCCCTTCTCTCATCCTCAGATGATGTGGTACCACCAGTACTTAGCAGCACAGGGCAGAGTGCCAATCTTTAGTTTATTCGTATAAAATAAAACTCTGATCTGAAATCAGCACTGATCTTCCCTTCATTATAATACATGTTGAACATATCCCATCATGTTGGCATAGTGACTGAGTACAAAAACACAGAAGCATTATACATTTCATTGTCACACACTGGACAAATCAGACTGTGATTTATACGATGACCTTAGCGTGCCATTCTTACACCTCAACACTGACATGAAGGTGAGGTGCACCTTGCACACAAGTCCAAACAATCCTATTGCAATGTACCAAACCAGTGCTAATACTCAGTTACACCAGGCAAAGCAATCCCAACAAAGGTTGTCTTAATTGATCCCATATCAAACTGCCTCATACAATTTAATCAGGATCAAATACCCTACATTGATCTTCACAGATAGCACAGTTCAGCTGGATGAATCTACCGCAGTTGCTTGAATGACTCTTCAAATCAACTCAAAATCATGGGTCACACATGTCTGTCTGCATGTAAACTGCCAGTCAGGTGTCGAGTCTGTCCTGGTCACACACATGTCTGTCTGCATGTAAACTGCCAGTCATGTGTCGAGTCTGTCCTGGTCACACACACGTCTATCTGCATGTACACTGCCAGTCATGTGTCGAGTCGGTCCTGGTCACACACACGTCTGTCTGCATGTAAACTGCCAGTCATGTGTCGAGTCTGTCCTGGTCACACACATGTCTGTCTGCATGTAAACTGCCAGCCAGGTGTCGAGTCTGTCCTGGTCACACACACGTCTATCTCCATGTAAAATGCCAGTCATGTCGAGTCTGTCCTGGTCACAAACATGTCTGTCTGCATGTAAACTGCCAGTCAGGTGTCGAGTCTGTCCTGGTCACACACATGTCTGTCTGCATGTAAACTGCCAGTCAGGTGTCCAGTCGGTCCTGGTCACACACACATCTGTCTGCATGTAAACTGCCAGTCAGGTGTCTAGTCTGTCCTGGTCACACACACGTCTGTCTGCATGTAAACTGCCAGGCAGGTGTCTAGTCTGTCCTGGTCACACACATGTCTGTCTGCATGTAAACTGCCAGTCAGGTGTCGAGTCTGTCCTGGTCACACACACGTCTGTCTGCATGTAAACTGCCAGTCAGGTGTCGAGTCTGTCCTGGTCACACACACGTCTGTCTGCATGTAAACTGCCAGTCAGGTGTCGAGTCTGTCCTGGTCACACACATGTCTGTCTGCATGTAAACTGCCAGTCAGGTGTCGAGTCTGTCCTGGTCACACACACGTCTGTCTGCATGTAAACTGCCAGTCAGGTGTCGAGTCTGTCCTGGTCACACACATGTCTGTCTGCATGTAAACTGCCAGTCAGGTGTCGAGTCTGTCCTGGTCACACACATGTCTGTCTGCATGTAAACTGCCAGTCAGGTGTCGAGTCTGTCCTGGTCACACACACGTCTGTCTGCATGTAAACTGCCTGTCAGGTGTCGAGTCTGTCCTGGTCACACACATGTCTGTCTGCGTGTAAACTGCCTGTCATGTGTCCAATCTGTCAGGGTCACACACACATCTGTCTGCATGTAAACTGCCAGTCAGGTGTCGAGTCTGTCCTGGTCACACACACGTCTGTCTGCATGTAAACTGCCAGTCATGTGTCTAGTCTGTCCTGGTCACACACATGTCTGTCTGCATGTAAACTGCCAGTCATGTGTCGAGTCTGTCCTGGTCACACACACGTCTGTCTGCATGTAAACTGCCAGTCAGGTGTCGAGTCTGTCCTGGTCACACACACATATCTGTCTGCATGTAAACTGCAAGTCATGTGTCGAGTCTGTCCTGGTCACACACACGTCTGTCTGCATGTAAACTGCCAGTCATGTGTCGAGTCTGTCCTGGTCACACACACGTCTGTCTGCATGTAAACTGCCAGTCAGGTGTCGAGTCTGTCCTGGTCACACACACGTCTGTCTGCATGTAAACTGCCAGTCAGGTGTCGAGTCTGTCCTGGTCACACACACGTCTATCTGCATGTGAACTGCCAGTCATGTGTCGAGTCTGTCCTGGTCACACACATGTCTGTCTGCATGTAAACTGCCAGTCAGGTGTCGAGTCTGTCCTGGTCACACACATGTCTGTCTGCATGTAAACTGCCAGTCAGGTGTCCAGTTGGTCCTGGTCACACACACGTCTGTCTGCATGTAAACTGTCAGTCATGTGTCGAGTCTGTCCTGGTCACACACACGTCTGTCTGCATGTAAACTGCCAGTCATGTGTCTAGTCTGTCCTGGTCACACACATGTCTGTCTGCATGTAAACTGCCAGTCATGTGTCGAGTCTGTCCTGGTCACACACACGTCTGTCTGCATGTAAACTGCCAGTCATGTGTCGAGTCTGTCCTGGTCACACACACGTCTGTCTGCATGTAAACTGCCAGTCAGGTGTCGAGTCTGTCCTGGTCACACACATGTCTGTCTGCATGTAAACTGCCAGTCATGTGTCGAGTCTGTCCTGGTCACACACATGTCTGTCTGCATGTAAACTGCCAGTCAGGTGTCCAGTTGGTCCTGGTCACACACACGTCTGTCTGCATGTAAACTGCCAGTCATGTGTCGAGTCTGTCCTGGTCACACACACGTCTGTCTGCATGTAAACTGCCAGTCATGTGTCTAGTCTGTCCTGGTCACACACATGTCTGTCTGCATGTAAACTGCCAGTCATGTGTCGAGTCTGTCCTGGTCACACACCTGTCTGTCTGCATGTAAACTGCCAGTCATGTGTCGAGTCTGTCCTGGTCACACACCTGTCTGTCTGCATGTAAACTGCCTGTCATGTGTCCAGTCTGTCAGGGTCACACACATGTCTGTCTTCATGTAAACTGCCAGAAGTGTAGAGAGGCTTCATGTACTGTAGAGATGTGACGTGTTCTCCCTTATCCAGCCACGGAATGAACAGTTACCTCCTTCTGGAAATGCCTGAATTACGCTGGAAGCCATGCTCTGTCTTCGTCATGCCATATCCACCGTAGTTTACCGTGGCCAAGTTACACCTCCAGGATCCTAGACCAAATGACTGAGACCATGCAGAAGCTCCGTCACGATGATTGACTTCCCCTCCCGACTATGAGGAAGAAGTTATATCAGATGCATGCATCACCGTTCCTGGAGTCACAGCCACTGGATGACGAGTTCCGCAAGCTGGTAAAGAATCCAACACCAATCTCATGCTCCCGGCCAGCTGAGTTAAAAATTTAACTACGGTTAACAAGTACTCCATGGACATTGACACGTATCTCAATCAGTTTATCGCAGGAATCCGACATGCGATGCCACCTCTACCAACGTCTTTTGATGATATCCTGGCAGAAACTCCAATGTCCATCCGAATGAACCAAGTGGGATCTACAGTTTGCTAGATGCGATTGTCTGCATGCTGGAGGACATGTTATCTACACAGGTCTGGACTGCCTCCCAGCTTCTATGGCTTCAGCAACAACAACTCCTGTCTCAAGTCAGATCAAGGGCTGTCCCCAAGCATGCCAAGCAGACGGTTATGTCACAGCCAGTCACATCATCGACAATCTTTAACAACAAGCTGGGCATGATCCTAAATGACAGAGAGGTTTCAACCTAGCAGTCAAGGCACATGGATCACAGTACCCGCCTAAACATGCACGAGAACCAGCCAGCGATTGCCCTTTCCACGAACCACCACGAAAGAAGTATATCCCATCAGGAAAAGAATCCTACCAGGCATCCTGGCATAATGACAAGCCATTGTCAGACTCCTTTCGGAACTCAGTCTCCAAACGCCGTGGATCTCGCCATAGAGGTTTCAAGTCCAGAGGTCGAGGGGATAAAAGATGCCTTGTTTCTCCCCTCTCCAAGCGTCGCAGATCCTATCAAACTGGTTTTGTCTACAGATTACGATACACAACTTCTGCCATTCAACATAACACCGTCTCAGGGTCCAGTGGGAGGGAGTCTTTTGTCATACGCTGAAAATTGGACGCACATTATGACCGACCACTGGATTTTAGACGTTATCCATCATGAGTACAAGCTACACTTTCTCAAGCACCCTCAACTTGTATCTCGTCCCGGGGGACGCAGATTTCACCTAGGATCTGACATCAGTGAGTACACCTTTTACCTTGATAGAATGGCATGTAAGGAATTCAAGAGCTACCTGTATTAAAACAGCTGATAAACATATATCTACCGGAAGTGACGTCACAATCAGAAGGAATATAGACTGGAAGTGATGTCATAACCGGAAGTGACGTCATAAATGACTTTAGAGGTTCTAGAAATGACATCAAAACCTGTTCAAAGGAGGAACTGACATCAATTAGAACTGGAAGTGACATCATAACAGGAAGTTGATAAACAGGAAGTGACATCACTCTCAGAATCTGAGACAAATGAAGAGTTAGAATAGAACTAAAGACATAATTTCATGATTATCAGCAAATAATAAGGTACTTCAACTGAAGGTATCGCATATTGACTGATATAATCATAATACCCGATTCTTGAGTAATTACCACTTGAAAGGGTTTGAATCCGGTAATATACAGGAACTCATACAACAGTATTGGATTGCTGTCAACTACACTGGGAGTTACTAGAGGCAGATCCCACCTTATCCCTCTGGTATATTCTGGCTTTGATGTAATAGAGGTAGAGGATTCGCAGGAACTATCAAACAATAGTTATCATTGTTAATAATTCTAAGAATACTACCTCTATTACATCAGGAAGTACTCCCACCCACCTCCCCAATTCATTTGCCTCAAGTGGTGAGATGTTTTGAAGAGCTGAAGAGCTACATGTGCTATTAGGGGAACTACAAGTTGTGTGTAGTTGACAGTGAAGAGGCCTTCTGTTGAAAATCTGAAGATTTCGTAATAGTGTGTCTGCAGCCAAAATACAGGACTTACAGGGCTATGATGTAATAGAGGTAGTATTCTTAGAATCATTAACAATGATATCTATTGTTTGATGTTTCTGTGTAAAGTTGTAAGAAAAGACATGATAGTGTTTGACACTTACATGTGAAAGTGGTTACTCACCATTAGCTTCATGAGATGTCTCCACTTCCAGGATGAGATTCCAAGCATTGCGCATCAGTGTCACAGCTTCAGCATGTGTCAGCTGCCTAAAGTCGGTACCATTCACCTCCAGGATGCGATCTCCAACACTGAGACACTGAGGGACACAGAATTGATATTAGCAAACTGTTCAGAGGAAACAATCCACTAGGTACTCGATGATAGGGGTCCCATACTCCTGCCCCATACCTGTTCCTCTGCCTGACTGTTGGCCTCCACTAGATGCACCATGATAGGGGTCCTGCCCCCTTACCTGTTCCTCTGCCTGACTGTTGGCCTCCACTAGATGCACCATGATAGGGTTCCTGCCCCCTTACCTGTTCCTCTGCCTGACTGTTGGCCTCCACTAGATACACCATGATAGGGATCCCATACTCCTGCCCCATACCTGTTCCTCTGCCTGACTGTTGGCCTCCACTAGATACACCATGATAGGGGTCCTGCCCCCTTACCTGTTCCTCTGCCTGACTGTTGGCCTCCACTAGATGCACCATGATAGGGTTCCTGCCCCCTTACCTGTTCCTCTGCCTGACTGTTGGCCTCCACTAGATACACCATGATAGGGGTCCCATACTCCTGCCCCTTACCTGTTCCTCTGCCTGACTGTTGGCCTCCACTAGATACACCATGATAGGGGTCCTGCCCCCTTACCTGTTCCTCTGCCTGACTGTTGGCCTCCACTAGATACACCATGATAGGGGTCCTGCCCCCTTACCTGTTCCTCTGCCTGACTGTTGGCCTCCACTAGATACACCATGATAGGGGTCCCATACTCCTTGCCGCCCTTGATTCCTACACCAAGACTGCCATCTTCACGCCTGTTTAGAAGCACTCGCTTCTTGGTGGTGTTTACTTCCGGCTCAGATTTGGGGCTTGCTCCATTAATAAATGGAGAAGTGTAGGAAGACTTCATGTTCAGATGGTGATTGGAATGAGTACTCGATTTCCTACTGTGACCCTCTGATTTTTGTGACAGTTGAAGTGACTTCATTGACACACGTGATGGAGTCTTTGACATATCTTGATTTTGCTGCCGATATTGGACTGGTGTTCTTACCGGCTTGAGCAGTGAATGATTCAGTATCATTTCTGCTTCTTCCTTGGTAACTGTTCCATTCCTAGACTGATCATCAAACTCACTGTATACTCCACTTGTAACACTGGTACCAGGGAGTGATACCCCATCAGTCCCATTTGTTTCATCAAAAGGCCCTACATGTATTTTTTTCTCAAATCCTGTAGACACAACTTGAAATTGCCCAGATGAATCCTTTGCAATCACTTTAGGATCATCACTTATGGGGTTTCCAGTATTAAAATACTTTAAGAATGCCTCATAACTTGAAAACTGTAGGCTACAGAGCTTATGGAAGTCCCTCTGAAGTTGGAGAGGAAGCTTGCTGCTCAGCTCCAGGAGCAGCATCAGCTTCTCAGTTGTATTTATCACAGGCTTTAGCTGAGTGCATAATGTAGGCACAGACTTAGACACCCGGAAGTGCTGTAAAGCTTGTTTGAACATGCTGCATTCGTCTTCATTCAGCAGTTCTTCTGCAAGATTTCGAAGGATTACCTCCCCTTTCTGATATTGTGTTGTGGCCATGAGTCTCATCTGCCGCCGCTGTGCTTGGCGAAGGGGCTTCCACGTGTGTCCGTATTGAAGGTAGTGTACTACCTGGTGGCAACAAGAATAGTTCATTTCATAAATTAGTATATATACAACATGTACATAAATATTGTAATCTTCCGGTATACTTGCCCGATGCAATCAAAAATTGAAAATTGCCATCAAAATGAAGAAAACAAGAAGCATTCCTAGAAGACTCATTCTCACAGCTGTTCTCTCAAAATTGTCTGTATTTTGGATATCCAAGAATATAAAACTAGATCCATAAGATTCTGCTGCTAACCTTGTATATTGTACTCTGTATTCTTAATCAAGACTCTCTGTTAATACCTACAAAGTTGCACAGTTATCCGCACAAGGGTTGAATATACAGAATATAGAGTCGTCAGAAGATAAGACCCCAAGTTTAACCCTCTTGGAGCCACAGGACCATATATGGTCCCATGAAAAGTCCCTTTTCAACTGTGAATTAAGATGTCTAACACTTGAGTGTGCAAAATGAAAATTATAACCATCATCAACCCTAATCATCTCAGCTTTAACATCATGTAACAATTGCTGTACATGAACAATATGTATGAAGTTAAGTTGCTGTACATGACCCAGTGCTGGATGATCAACCAGCCATTGTTGCTGTACATGACCCAGTGCTGCATGATCAGCCAGCCATTGTTGCTGTACATAAACACAATGTATGATGTGAAGTTGCTGTATAGACCCAGTGCTGCATGATCAGCCAGCCATTGTTGCTGTACATAAACACAATGTATGATGTGAAGTTGCTGTATAGACCCAGTGCTGCATGATCAGCCAGCCATTTTTGCTGTACATGACCCAGTGCTGCATGATCAGCCAGCCATTGTTGCTGTACATGACCCAGTGCTGCATGATCAACCAGCGATTGTTGCTGTACATGATCACAATGTATGATGTGAAGTTGCTGTACATGACCCAGTGCTGCATGATCAACCATCGATTGTTGCTGTACATGAACACAATGAATGATGTGAAGTTGCTGTACATGACCCAGTGCTGGATGATCAACCAGCCATTGTTGCTGTACATGAACACAATGTATGATGTGAAGTTGCTGTACATGACCCAGTGCTGCATGATCAGCCAGCCATTGTTGCTGTACATGACCCAGTGCTGCATGATCAACCAGCCATTGTTGCTGTACATGACCCAGTGCTGCATGATCAGCCAGCCATTGTTGAAAGAGTTACTTTTACCCACTGTGCAGTTATTGGCATGAGACTGCTAACATTTAGTCTGCAACGGAAGTTTTTTGTTCAAGTGTTGCATATTTTTATTGACTGTGTGTCATGGCGATTCTACCAGTTGTCTTTCATGCTTGACGTTTCGACAAATAACTGCTGCTTTTTTCATACCTGACCGTGTGAATGAATTGCCCTAACCATTTCACATTTTGTCACAAAAGGAGATTTCATAAGTGTGGCCACAACATGTAACGTGAGTCAACGCCATATTGTGAACAAATTATATCCAATTGTCATGATCAGCCAGCCATTGTTGCTGTACATGACCCAGTGCTGCATGATCAGCCAGCCATTGTTGCGATACATGAACACAATGTATGATGTGAAGTTACGGTACATGACCAAGTGCTGCATGATCAGCCAGCCATTGTTGCTGTACATGAACACAATGTATGATGTGAAGTTGCTGTACATGACCCAGTGCTGCATGATCAGCCAGCCATTGTTGCTGTACATGACCCAGAGCTGCATGATCAGCCAGCCATTGTTGCTGTACATGAACACAATGTATGATGTGAAGTTATGGTACATGACCCAGTGCTGGATGATCAACCAGCCATTGTTGCTGTACATGATCACAATGTATGATGTGAAGTTGCTGTACATGACCCAGTGCTGCATGATCAGCCAGCCATTGTTGCTGTACATGAACACAATGTATGATGTGAAGTTGCTGAACATGACCCAGTGCTGCATAATCAGCCAGCCATTGTTGCTGTACATGAACACAATGTATGATGTGAAGTTGCTGTACATGACCAAGTGCTGCATGATCAGCCAGCCATTGTTGCTGTACATGACCCAGTGCTGGATGATCAGCCAGCCATTGTTGCTGTACATGAACACAATGTATGATGTGAAGTTGCTATATATGACCCAGTGCTGCATGATCAGCCAGCCATTGTTGCTGTACATGAACACAATGTATGATGTGAAGTTGCTGTACATGACCCAGTGCTGGATGATCAACCAGCCATTGTTGCTGTACATGAACACAATGTATGATGTGAAGTTGCTGTACATGACCATGTTCTGGATGATCAGCCAGCCATTGTTGCTGTACATGACCCAGTGCTGCATAATCAGCCAGCCATTGTTGCTGTCCATGAACACACTGTATGATGTGAAGTTGCTGTACATGACCCAGTGCTGCATGATCAGCCAGCCATTGTTGCTGTCCATGAACACAATGTATGATGTGAAGTTGCTGTACATGACCAAGTCCTGCATGATCAGCCAGCCATTGTTGCTGTACATGACCCAGTGCTGCATGATCAACCAGCCATTGTTGCTGTCCATGAACACACTGTATGATGTGAAGTTGCTGTACATGACCCAGTGCTGCATGATCAGCCGGCCATTGTTGCTGTACATGACCCAGTGCTTCATGATCAACCAGCCATTGTTGCTGTACATGAACACAATGTATGATGTGAAGTTGCTGTACATGACCCAGTGCTGGATGATCAGCCAGCCATTGTTGCTGTACATGAACACAATGTATGATGTGAAGTTGCTGTATATGACCCAGTGCTGCATGATCAGCCAGCCATTGTTGCTGTACATGACCAAGTGTTGCATGATCAGCCATCCATTGTTGCTGTACATGAACACAATGTATGATGTGAAGTTATGGTACATGACCCAGTGCTGCATGATCAACCAGCCATTGTTGCTGTACATGAACACAAGGTATGATGTGAAGTTGCTGTATATGACCCAGTGCTGCATGATCAGCCAGCCATTGTTGCTGTACATGAACACAATGTATGATGTGAAGTTGCTGTACATGACCAAGTGCTGCATGATCAGTCAGCCGTTGTTGCTGTACATGAACACAATGTATGATGTGAAGTTATGGTACATGACCCAGTGCTGCATGATCAGCCAGCCATTGTTGCTGTCCATGAACACAATGTATGATGTGAAGTTGCTGTACATGACCCAGTGCTGGATGATCAGCCAGCCATTGTTGCTGTACATGAACACAATGTATGATGTGAAGTTGCTGTATATGACCCAGTGCTGCATGATCAGCCAGCCATTGTTGCTGTACATGACCAAGTGTTGCATGATCAGCCATCCATTGTTGCTGTACATGAACACAATGTATGATGTGAAGTTATGGTACATGACCCAGTGCTGGATGATCAGCCAGCCATTGTTGCTGTACATGAACACAATGTATGATGTGAAGTTGCTGTATATGACCCAGTGCTGCATGATCAGCCAGCCATTGTTGCTGTACATGACCAAGTGTTGCATGATCAGCCATCCATTGTTGCTGTACATGAACACAATGTATGATGTGAAGTTGCTGTACATGACCCAGTGCTGGATGATCAGCCAGCCATTGTTGCTGTACATGAACACAATGTATGATGTGAAGTTGCTGTATATGACCCAGTGCTGCATGATCAGCCAGCCATTGTTGCTGTACATGACCAAGTGTTGCATGATCAGCCATCCATTGTTGCTGTACATGAACACAATGTATGATGTGAAGTTATGGTACATGACCCAGTGCTGCATGATCAACCAGCCATTGTTGCTGTACATGAACACAATGTATGATGTGAAGTTGCTGTATATGACCCAGTGCTGCATGATCAGCCAGCCATTGTTGCTGTACATGAACACAATGTATGATGTGAAGTTGCTGTACATGACCAAGTGCTGCATGATCAGTCAGCCGTTGTTGCTGTACATGAACACAATGTATGATGTGAAGTTATGGTACATGACCCAGTGCTGCATGATCAGCCAGCCATTGTTGCTGTCCATGAACACAATGTATGATGTGAAGTTGCTGTACATGACCCAGTGCTGGATGATCAGCCAGCCATTGTTGCTGTACATGAACACAATGTATGATGTGAAGTTGCTGTATATGACCCAGTGCTGCATGATCAGCCAGCCATTGTTGCTGTACATGACCAAGTGTTGCATGATCAGCCATCCATTGTTGCTGTACATGAACACAATGTATGATGTGAAGTTATGGTACATGACCCAGTGCTGCATGATCAGCCAGCCATTGTTGCTGTCCATGAACACAATGTATGATGTGAAGTTGCTGTACATGACCCAGTGCTGCATGATCAACCAGCCATTGTTGCTGTACATGAACACAATGTATGATGTGAAGTTATGGTACATGACCCAGTGCTGCATGATCAGCCAGCCAGTGTTGCTGTCCATGAACACAATGTATGATGTGAAGTTATGGTACATGACCCAGTGCTGCATGATCAACCAGCCATTGTTGCTGTACATGAACACAATGTATGATGTGAAGTTGCTGTACATGACCCAGTGCTGGATGAACAGCCAGCCATTGTTGCTGTACATGAACACAATGTATGATGTGAAGTTGCTATATATGACCCAGTGCTGCATGATCAGCCAGCCATTGATGCTGTCCATGAACACAATGTATGATGTGAAGTTGCTGTACATGACCCAGTGCTGCATGATCAGCCAGCCATTGTTGCTGTACATGACCCAGTGCTGCATGATCAACCAGCCATTGTTGCTGTCCATGAACACAATGTATGATGTGAAGTTGCTGTACATGACCCAGTGCTGCATGATCAGCCAGCCATTGTTGCTGTACATGACCCAGTGCTGCATGATCAGCCAGCCATTGTTGCTGTACATGAACACAATGTAAGATGTAAAGTTGCTGTACATGACCCAGTGCTGGATGATCAACCAGCCATTGTTGCTGTACATGAACACAATGTATGATGTGAAGTTGCTGTACATGACCCAGTGCTTGATGATCAACCAGCCATTGTTGCTGTACATGAACACAATGTATGATGTGAAGTTGCTGTACATGACCCAGTGCTGGATGATCAGCCAGCCATTGTTGCTGTACATGAACACAATGTTTGATGTGAAGTTGCTGTACATGACCCAGTGCTGCATGATCAGCCAGCCATTGTTGCTGTACATGACCCAGTGCTGCATGATCAGCCAGCCATCGTTGCTGTACATGAACACAATGTATGATGTGAAGTTGTGGTACATGACCCAGTGCTGCATGATCAACCAGCCGTTGTTGCTGTACATGAACACAATGTATGATGTGAAGTTGCTGTACATGACCCAGTGCTGGATGAACAGCCAGCCATTGGTGCTGTACATGAACACAATGTATGATGTAAGGGTTGCTATATATGACCCAGTGCTTCATGATCAGCCAGCCATTGATGCTGTCCATGAACACAATGTATGATGTGAAGTTGTGGTACATGACCCAGTGCTGCATGATCAGCCAGCCATTGTTGCTGTACATGACCCAGTGCTGCATGATCAACCAGCCATTGTTGCTGTCCATGAACACAATGTATGATGTGAAGTTGCTGTACATGACCCAGTGCTGCATGATCAGCCAGCCATTGTTGCTGTACATGACCCAGTGCTGCATGATCAGCCAGCCATTGTTGCTGTACATGAACACAATGTAAGATGTGAAGTTGCTGTACATGACCCAATGCTGGATGATCAACCAGCCATTGTTGCTGTACATGAACACAATGTATGATGTGAAGTTGCTGTACATGACCCAGTGCTTGATGATCAACCAGCCATTGTTGCTGTACATAAACACAATGTATGATGTGAAGTTGCTGTACATGACCCAGTGCTGGATGATCAGCCAGCCATTGTTGCTGTACATGAACACAATGTTTGATGTGAAGTTGCTGTACATGACCCAGTGCTGGATGGTCATCCAGCCATTGTTGCTGTACATGACCCAGTGCTGCATGATCAGCCAGCAATTGTTGCTGTGCATGAACACAATGTATGATGTGAAGTTGCTGTACATGACCCAGTGCTGCATGATCAGCCAGCCATTGTTGCTGTACATGACCCAGTGCTGCATGATCAGCCAGCCATTGTTGCTGTACATGAACACAATGTATGATGTGAAGTTGTGGTACATGACCCAGTGTTGCATGATCAACCAGCCGTTGTTGCTGTACATGAACACAATGTATGATGTGAAGTTGTGGTACATGACCCAGTGCTGCACGATCAGCCAGCCATTGTTGCTGTACATGACCCAGTGCTGCATGATCAGCCAGCCATTGTTGCTGTACATGAACACAATGTATGATGTGAAGTTGCTGTACATGACCCAGTGCTGCATGATCAACCAGCCATTGTTGCTGTACATGAACACAATGTATGATGTGAAGTTGTGGTACATGACCCAGTGCTGCATGATCAACCAGCCATTGTTGCTGTACATGAACACAATGTATGATGTGAAGTTGCTGTACATGACCCAGTGCTGCATGATCAGCCAGCCATTGTTGCTGTACATGAACACAATGTATGATGTGAAGTTGCTGTACATGACCCAGTGCTGCATGATCAACCAGCCATTGTTGCTGTACATGAACACAATGTATGATGTGATATGAACTAGTGGAAGATGATCAAAGGGTAGATACACATGGTAACATGAAGCAAAACTTACATAATAACCACTCTGTTCTTGAACAACAATAATTATTCAGCTGAAATTTGTCATGTCAAGTCAAGTCTTTAAAAGTAACAAGTTATGAGTTGTCCAATATGAATGTGCTAGTATCTCCCCAAATGGTCACCACATCTGTGTCGGTCTTACCTCCATGTGCCGTGGGCGGACACGCAGCTGAAACTCAGGATATCTGCTGAGTGGGGAGAACATTACTGGCTTGACTTGACTACTACTAGAAACTTGAAGACAGACTTGTCCCATCTACCCAGATACTCTGGATCCGGTAATTGCTTTCAAACAACCCTTAGCCTCTGTAGGATTCTAAGAAGATCTTTAAAATGTCTTTCCTCCATGTTTGTTTTCTTTTGAAAGAAATCATTGTCACATCAAAGCAATACTATTTCGTAATCCAAGCATATCCAGTATGAGCTAGCATAGTCAGTGGTTCTGCCATGCATCGACCACATGTCCAGAATATGAATGTCCATATGTGAGCCACTAGCACAAGTTGTTAATCAAAGTTCCAAGCTTGAAGGAGACCTACACACGATACTTCCACAGTGGGGTATTCCCTCCCAGGATCTCACCCCACAACTAGGAGGAATTTAAGGCTGAACACAACTGACATTATCAATACCCTCCCTGCCTTAATTAAATCATTAAAGATTGATTGCACACAAAATATCAGCCACAATATTGCCTTTGGCAAAGTTCAATCCATCAATGTGCAGGCTGTGTATCCTGAATCCAGCTGTATTCCTGAGGAGCACTGAGGCTGGCAGTCCAGCACAAGATGCAGGAGTTTGTCAAATGAACACAATGCAGTGTATTATACACTCCCCTCAACACTTGTCACAGGAGACTTCACATACATGTTGTATAGCAATAGAGACTCAGTTTCAAAACCTGACTGACAGCTTACAACCAGCCAACAAAAGACAAGTCTTCTTTTATGTTCAACATTATATGGTTAGGACAGTGACATATGCTAAATATGTGCATTATGGCACTCATTCACAAATATGTAACACTATCTTGCTGCACACTCGACAACTGTATGAACTGTAATATTCTATTAATTTATCAAGTTACCATCTGAATATGCACTTATAATCAGTATTTTCGTCTTTGTTTATTTGAAGAGGTGACAAAAACAACATTTACAAATGAAGAAAAAATGAGCTGTATTGAATTGAGTTGGGCATGACCACACTATATCTATATCTATGTGTGAGCAGTCATTGAAACGGTTCTAGGTAGCCAAGTACAATGCTCCTTACATGTTGCCAGTAGATCAAGATGTCATCGATGTCTTGATCCAGCAGTCTCTTTATTTCATGTGTGTGTCATGGCACACAGCCAGCCTAGAACACAAGCTTGCAGAAAGACCCCATCCACCATACACTATTGCCTTCTGCAAGTTGCTTCAAATGATAATGTTAACTCAAGTTCCTGTAACTATGTGGCTTTTTGTTTAGATAAGATTGAAGATATTTGCAAACTATAATATAAATATAAGCTAAGAAGTGGAATGTTTTGGAAGCTGTAATATTCTCCAACAATGCTACATCCTAATGAACCACACCTCACACATTATACTCATATTTATATTTTTCATCAATATATTTTTTACAAAGATACATTAACTTTTTTTTATCATTTTTTAGTAATATTCATTTCAAGGTGTGTGTAGGAAATAATGTTTATTTTCTTATTTGACCTACATGCGGTAAAGTGAGCTACATTGTATTCAAAACATGTATCATGTATCATAGATTTGGGCTGAAAATGTAAAACCATGAGCAAGGGAAAAAACAGAAGTCACGAGGTCTTTTCCCAAGCTAGAGGTTTTACATTTTCAACAAAAATCAAGGAGTATTAGAACTTATAACTAACTTATGAACCATCTGAATGCAAGAAATGCCAAAAAGAAAAACTATCAGGATAACTTACAATGAAATAATACTGTAGTCGTGTTATGAAACGAATTCAATGACAGCATGCGAGACAAAGTCCACATGCAGCATGCAGACAACTGAAATCAGTGACATGTAAGATTGAACACCCTTTCATCACCTGCCCTGTGGCTCAGTGGGTTGGTTACAATACTAAATATGATATGTGGTGTTACTGGTTCAATTCACATCATGGAATTTTCTTGTAAAAAAATCACTCATTAGATGCACATCAAAAGGATGTTTATAAATCTTTGGTGATGTAACACTCTCCAGTTAAGTTAGAGAATAGAGGGCATTCTCCTGGATCGCCCTGGGAATGGATACAAGCAACTGAGTTTGCCGGTTTTCTGCTATTTGGAGAAACCTTAAGAAAAGGTCACAAGGTATATTTATATATCAGTCTCTGAAACAGCATGCCATAAAGGTCTGATTCCATTACTGGGGCACATTTCATTTCCAAACACAACTGTGTCAGTCTCTCTCTCCATCCTGCTACATGAAAAATTGATGGCACAGCAGTCTTGCTATGCAGAGTTACATCCCTTAGTCATGCCAGGATCCAAGATCCAGAAAAGGATCACTTGACTTTTGTGCTTATATCAAATATGGTTTATAGTTTGGGTACTTGTTTGCAATGTCAAATGGAACTCGGATTAAAATATGTTTATACAACTTGCAATGTTATAAGAAGTCCAGTGGACTAGATAATTTAATGCAGCTTAGTATATTTTGCTCACATTATAGCTCCCCCTCTGCTACTGGAAATGGTTGTTCTCCATCACTCACTGATGACAAATCTTAGAGATTTACCTGATATACCTCCTATGTACCCCTGGGAAGGCTTTCTGACATGTGATTGGTGCCACTGAAGGTCAAGGCCTCAAACAAGCTTATGCACACATAATGAGCATTTAGCAATTTGTGAATGGCCTCTGAGGTGGGGTCTCAATCATAACAGATTTATGGTGACATCCACATAAGGTCAAGGTCACGAGAAGTCAATAATGAAACATAATTCAAATTTCATGACATTTTCGATTGATTCATTAAAAAAACATTTTCCAATTACTTATCATAATCTCCCAATAATTAACCCAATATGTCATGGTTGTGTCAAATCTCAAGGTCACATTGAAGGTCATTCATTCATGAAATGACTTGTAAATAGTTTCATTCAGAAAGTACTGGCAGTGTGAAATGGTGACCTAAGTTTGCAACAAGTTCTCAACTGTGATTGGATGACTTCAAAGGTCCATGTCACTCAGTGTGAAGTGAAGAAAGCTTATGTACAAAATATTTTGAGCATTTATAATTGTAATTTGATAAAACTTATTCCTCATGATCTTTATCGAGTTAATGGCCAAGATTGAAGGTCAAGGGTAATAAACCGGAACTGCTTATAACTTTGCTATTAAAGTAGCTAGAGGCACAGGACTTTCTGTTTCAAACTTGTACTGCATTGGGCATGTGTTTTCCTGTAACCGAAAGTGCTTGTTACTTGTTATAATCATATCTAGAAAAATACAACTTTTGTTTCAAAGTGGTTAAAAAACAAGCATGTGTGAGTCGACTGTCAAATGATATGATAAAATTTACTTTTAAGATGATTCATGATAGATGTTTCTGATGGGAAAGTTTCGGAGCATTCTGAAAATGGTGGGGATGGGGCTACTTCTGTTTTTGCATGTAATGAAAAAGAAAATGTCTGATTTATATTAATGTCTTTGAGATTGATGATCATTGACAGGTGTACTGTATAATCTACATATAGTACACACAGTATTTATATAAGGATGAATTAAGCTGAAAGGTTGGTTGACCCATTCCTATAGACTGATGTCTTTCAATAGACATGGAACATGACAGACCATTTGATATCTGTGCAGGTTCCAGCTGCTGATATCCCCTCCCATCACCACAAATACATCCTGTACACAACAACCTTTTCCTAACACAAGTATACGTCAATTCATACAAAAATACTTTTTAAACAGTGTTGTTCCTTTTAATGCCAGACACTCCCAGTTTTGGTGACCACTAAAAATATTCAAACAGAAAATATGTTGCTGTCCTTCAAGCGAAGTCTAGCCGGTGAAGGTGGTGCTTTGTCTCCAAGTGATGTATTTGCAACACCCAAACAGTTAATGACAATCAATACACGCCTAGTCAAGACTACACATAATAAGGGGAATTATTTTGCAGTAACCAAGATGAATAATCTATGAATCCAAGTTATATTTAATCAATAATCGGAACAGTGATGATGAGGTGATGATTACAAAGGGCTGTGGTCACATGCAAGTGACACTTGAGTGCACTGTAGACATAACTCTGGATTCTCACATATGTTGCATTCCAAACATTGGAAGTAAATATATATGAAACTCACAGACCGCTGCCTGATGTGAGCTAGGCTCATTTTTATGTGTACGTGCATGTGTGCTCTCATACACAACTGCTGGCTGAAGTCCACTCTCTATCTGACCCGTGAAGATTCCGGGGTAGAATAGGTCTTCAGCAACCCATGCTTGCCGTAAAAGGCGACTATGCTTGTCGTAAAAGGCGACTAACGGGATCGGGTGCTCAGGCTCCCTGACTTTGTTGATGCATGTCATTGTTCCCAATTGCGTGGATCGATGCTCATGATATTAATCACTGGATTGTCTGGTCAAGACTCTATTATTTACAGACTGCCGTCATATAGCTGGAATATTGCTGAGTGTGGCGTTAAACAACAAACCAACCAACTCTATCTACATAGGGGTGGTGGGGTAGCCTAGTTGTGTACCCTCATACACATACACAACTGCTGTCTGGCTGAACTCCACTCTCTATCTACATCGGGGTGGCGGGGTAGCCTATAGTTGTGTACCCTCATACACATACACAACTGCTGGCACAACTCCACTCTCTATGTACATAGGGGTGGTGGGGTAGCCTATTTGTGTACCCTCATAGACATACACAACTGCTGGCTGAACTCCACTCTCTATCTACATAGGGACGGCGGGGTAGCCTATAGTTGTGTACCCTCATACACATACACAACTGCTGGCACAACTCCACTCTCTATGTACATCGGGGTGGTGGGGTAGCCTATTTGTGTACCCTCATACACATACACAACTGCTGGCTCAATTCCACTCTCTATCTACACAGGGATGGCGGGGTAGCCTAGTTGTGTACCCTCATACACATACACAACTGCTGGCTCAATTCCACTCTCTATCTACACAGGGATGGCGGGGTAGCCTAGTTGTGTACCCTCATACACATACACAACTGCTGGCTCAATTCCACTCTCTATCTACACAGGGATGGCGGGGTAGCCTAGTTGTGTACCCTCATACAAATACACAACTGCTGTCTGGCTGAACTCCACTCTCTATCTACACAGGGATGGCGGGGTTGCCTAGTTGTGTACCCTCATACACATACACAACTGCTGGCTCAATTCCACTCTCTATCTACACAGGGATGGCGGGGTAGCCTAGTTGTGTACCCTCATACACATACACAACTGCTGGCTCAATTCCACTCTCTATCTACACAGGGATGGCGGGGTAGCCTAGTTGTGTACCCTCATACAAATACACAACTGCTGTCTGGCTGAACTCCACTCTCTATCTACACAGGGATGGCGGGGTTGCCTAGTTGTGTACCCTCATACACATACACAACTGCTGTCTGGCTCAATTCCACTCTCTATCTACACAGGGGCGGCGGGGTAGCCTATAGTTGTGTACCCTCATACACATACACAACTGCTGTCTGGCTGAACTCCACTCTCTATCTACACAGGGATGGCAGGGTAGCCTAGTTGTGTACCCTTATGTAGATAGAGAGTGGAGTTCAGCCAGCAGTTGTGTATGTGTATGAGGGTA